TATATATATTTATATATATATATATTATTATTTTTTGTATAAATATCTACAATAGGTTTCAGATTATTTTTAATCAAATGTAGACCATATCAATTTTTTACCATGCTTAAAAGAAGATCAAACATCTTTTTCCTACATAATTAGAGTCAATGTTCCTGGGAAATTAAATGCAATTATTCAGTAGAGAAAATAAAAAATACTAAAACATGCATTTGTTAGTGTATCGATTGTTCAAAAAACAAAACAAAAAAAAAACTGACCCACACCATCATTTTAGCCAAAGTGATGAACAGCTGATCCATGTATCTACTGTGCTTGGCTTTGCATATCAGTTTATTTTCTTAATCAAGAGTTCTGGTTTGACCAACATAGTTAACACTCCACGTGAGATTCTGAATACATTTTTATTTTTTCATTCATTCGGTCATACATTTTATTCATTAATCCATTTTATTAAATACTGCAATCATTTTTATTTATTTATTACTCATTTCCAAATTGGAATCCAATTTCCTTTTTTTAGAACAAAAAAACATCTAATTGTAAATACCTATCATTAAAAAAAACATAATTCTCTTTTCCATTTGACCTTGCATTCAAATTATTTTAGCTTTTCCATGATCCTTCTGGTTCCTCAGAACATTGAAACCAATCACAGTGGCTCCTCAGACAAAACCAGCTCTCTCATTGGTTAAATAACACTTATAGTAGGATCACAAAATTATGATGACGACTACAGCTTTACTTCTCCACCTTCTCCCTTAGTAACTCCACACAAAGTGGAAACTCAGTTGTATTTGATAAAATTACAGTTTAGTCTCATTGGATTTTGAGAAAAACCTGCCTTCTGAGTGCTATACGACTTCCTCATAAGTTCTGCCTTACTCCAGACATCTCCTTCAAGCCTAATTTGCGCATGCACTGTCAACAGTTTAATTTGACATAGACAATATTGGCATATGTGGTATAACCAAAACAAGAATGCAGTGAGAGTACAATCAGGTGCTGAGTCTGTCAATTGCTTTATTCTATGACAAACATTTGATATTTAGCATTTTTGGGTTACTCTACATAAACAGAAATGCCCATAGAAATAAAAGAAAAGAGACCTGTGAAAGTAAATTTTCAATTAAAACTGACATTATACAAGAATTGAGAGTAAGTAGCTGATTACACTTCAACATTTCACAGCTGTGAAAGTATATCCAATACCATGGACAATAAACAATAGCTGTGCACGTGTCTCACAGGGTTGGACAACCCTGCATCCAGATCGGATGAACACCAACGTTTGTAGATGCAACTCTGTATAAATGTTTCTACTTTCATTATTATTACCCGGCGGCTCCTGGTAATGCTGCACCAACAGTACCAACCACATATAATCCAAAGAAAATACAATGATTGTACAAGCCTATAATAAAGTCATATCCTACGTTTTTGGTACTAGTCACATGATTAGTTAGAAGGCTTCAACAGAAACTGCTTTCTGCAGGTTTGATCGATGGCTTTAGCTCGTTTAAAAACACCTTAGTTTAAATGAACCAATGACACACACACACACACACACACACACACACACACACAGAAAAAAATAATAATATTGCAAATAAGACTCGCTGTACTTTCTTTAAGAGACAGAACCCAGATCAGAGTTAATTAAATCAGTTACTTTTGATCACATTTATCCTATGTACCACACATGCATATAAAACAATAACCCTCTTCTAAAATAAAAGCTTTGACCTAAACATAAGAAGTTGTTGGTAGGATTCACAGTGTTTGAAGTCATATAAATCGGTTAGAAAAGTTTGTTAAATAAAAAGCTAAGGGTCCTCTTTTTTCCCAGCATTATGTACATTTAAAGTAGGCTTTAGAAAGAAAACAGCATCTTATTACAATAGGATACAGTAGTTGCTTTCAAAATAAACATCTGTTTTTAAATAATAAATGTTCCCAACACATGTATGGTTTTGTTTCAAAGGAAAAGGGAAAGAAATATTTAACTTCAGCTACTTAAGATGAGGTCTATAAACTGTTTATAGAAGGTAAATCCATTATTAAGTATGAAAAATAAAGCAAACATGCAATGCTTTTGGGTGCAATACTCCTCTTTGTCCAGTAGGGGTCAGAAACCTCACTGACTCAAATAAGCTTTTATTAAAAACAAACTCATTTGACATCCTCTTCTTTCAGTTAGATGAAATATGAGAATTTTATATATCATTAAATACACAATAATCTGCAGTCATAGTTATAATTCTGGTCCCATCTCAGTATTCTTGTAAAAAATAACCTATGATTTCACTTTGGAAATGTCCATCTTTTATGTTTAATATATGGTAGAAGAGATATCACCATTTAGGTTAAGATTTTCTACAGTAATATGGTAAAGGGGAAAAAAGGGACGGCTTTCAAAAGAGGCAAAGAAATCTTTACAGAAAAATCCAGATATCACATCGAACGCTGGTTTAAATGAGCACATCAGGATGTAATATAATAACTAGTGGTGTATACAGGCACTCCTGTGAGAGAAGGATAGTGTTCACTAACCACCAAATTAATGTCCCCACATTTGTTAGTGTCAGAACACCTCTATTTGGAAAAAATAAAAAATAAAAAAGTGCAAAGAAAAAGGAACATGAATGTCCAAAGTCCAGCTTGGTCCCAGTGATTCACATCGAGGAATTTATTAGTTTCGGTACCTCAAGGAGGACAAAGGGGTGGGTGTAAATAATTCAGTGTTGCTCATTAACACCTGAAGCTTTGCTTAGGTTGAATCCCGACTATTTTTCCACATCCTATGCCTGTGAAACGAGAGTATTTGGTTAAAAATAAATTTGCTTACACAGCAGTTATCATAGAAGGAGATTTATTGTACTTACAGGGCCTTTGTTTTCAGTAGAAGTTAGGTCACTGAATGAGAAAGTATCCTCTGTGCTAGTGCCTTCTTCAACCGAAGACTGAGCTCTAAAACAAAGAAAAAAAATAAAGGGACAGTTAACCAGCACATCATAGAAAAACCGCCTGGTTTAGATTTTGTCTTTGAGGAATAATTCTTTTTTTTTTATTTATTTTTTTTTTACGTTTTTTAAGATGAAAGGGTTAGAGCAGTTAACATCTTACCTGCAATAAATAACTTTCCTGATATCTTCTCCTAATATAATTGGTTCTGAAGGCTAAGACTAATGACATACAAGAGGAGGCAGGACTAAAACAGGCTTGGTAAATGGTAAAAATGGTAAATGGCATGTACTTATATAGCGCCTTTATTCAAGTTAGGAGACTTGACCAAAGCGCTTTACACAACATTCATTCACCCATTCACACACACACTCACACACTGTTATCTAAATAGAAAAAAAATTAGTCAAAAACATCAGAATTAAATGCTACCTTTAAAGAAGAGTGGGATATAGAGGAAGGCATCAAAGCTTGAAGATCTGACATGTCAAAGATCTGACAGTGTGAAACTAGTAATAGGGGCTGGCAGATTTTAACTGTTTCTGCACAGGCTAAGTACCTGAGATTAAGAATAATGTGTTTTAAACACTTTTCTGTGTTGGCCTAGTGGTTAGAGCAGAGTGCTTGTGCTCTGAGAAGGTTGCAAGTACCCACTTTGATTCCCACAGCCTCCACTCTGGGTTCCCGAGCAACACCCTTAACCCCACACTGCTTCCCAAATGCCACACAATGGCAGCCCACTATTCCCCAAGGGGATGGGTCAAATGCAGAGTGAATTCCCGCATTGTGGGACAATAAAGGGATTTACATTTATTGCCTCTCCAGAGAAGGCAAAAAAAAAAAAAAAAAATAATAATAATAATAATAATAATATATATATATTTATTTTATTTTATTTTTTTTTTTTCCCCCACAGTCTTAGTTTGTTGGCTAGCAAGATTACAGGAAAAGTCAGGGACAGATTGCTCTTAAATTTTCACCACAGATGTAAATTTTGGTGGCGATTAGTATTATGATCAACATTTAAACATTTTATAAAAGTCCTTGTGAGAAAGTGACTAGGCACAAATTTAGTTATTACATTATTTAGGAGGATTTGCCAACAACACCTGAAAGCAACAACAAGTTTACTGTTTTCAGCAAACAGAGGAGGTTTTCTGTTTTTTCTCCTCAAAGGCCCTGATGGCAAAGGCGGTAAGACCAGGCAAATACTTGTAAAAGTGAGAAATGTAACTTCTCAAAAAAAAAAAAGAAGTCACACATGCACAAAGCTGCCACTGACGCCTCTGATTACAAAGCATTATGTGAATATATTCTTTAGAGAAATGTTTTGTTGTTCTTTAGAGTAATGTTTTGTTTTTCGTTTAAACCGCTCCACTAAAATGAATCCCTCCATTCATTTAATTAATACTCAGCTTCATCCACTGCATGTGACTCTGCTAACTGTATTTAACTGGAATTAGCAAACGCTAAATTAATTATTTAATGTATTTATTTATAATTTAATTATCTTTAAAATATTAGTTAAAATTTTATTTAAAATGTTAAATACTTGAGATGCATTTTTTAACTTGAAAGAAAATTACCTCTGGGTGGGGCTGCTGTCCTTGCTTCTGCTTGCTAATTCACCTTCACCTGAGGTATCCTGAAAGTTAGACTGAGTAAGTGTTGAAGGATGGAATCTGGTGTTGGCCAGAGATCCAACAGCTCCACGGGTGCCGTCAGCGCCGTCAGCGGGGAGTGAGCTCTTTGGGAGAAGGTCAGGTCGACCCGACGACATTACTGGATGGGAGGATACACTCTCATTAGTGTGTTGTGAAAACGCCACTTCACATGTTTAGTAGTTATCAGTAAGACTTGTTTGTTTCCCACAATAAATCTGAAGCAGCTGCACTGCAGTGTCTTTTTCCAGAGCTTACCAATGACTCCCTCAGAATCCTCCTTGGTGTCCGTACTGGCTTGTTGTTGCAGTAACGGGTGCTTGTAGCCGATACTGGTTGGAGTCAGAGAGGCCCCAGAACCAGCAGGTTTCTTTGAAGGGCCGTTAGCACGGCGCTTCTTACACGGGGAGGCCTTTGCTAGATTTAAGATGGTAAAGGAGTAAATTAGGAGTTTGATCTTTAAAACTGAGATTTTTTTTTTTATGATAAAAAAAAAAAAACATTAACCTTACCTGCTACCTTTCTGAAAACCACATTGCACATGAACTTTTGAAATCTTTCTGCATAGAAACTTGGTCTGTGCACTGACACGGTGTCCTGAACGGGGCAGAGGGAAAAAAAAAAAAGAAAAAGAAAAGGGATTGTATCTAAATCTGTGTTTTCAACCACTACAAACCAAAAAAACCAAAAAACAAACACGAACTGAGGTGACTTACCCCATCATGAACCAGAGCCTTCCAGGAATGTTCAAGCCTCTTTACCAATCTGAAAAAACAAACACAGATCAAAGGTCTGCTATAAAAGCTCCACAATCCAAAGGAAATTGACAATGATTCACACATATATAGAAGCAAATCAATCAGATCAGGTTATCGGAGTTTCCATTTCTAACTTACACACTGCTATTTTACAAGTCTGCCTGAAATGTTTATTATCAACAAAACCATTTCATTCCCAAGCACTTAACCATGTAGACCTAATTTATTGTCATAGGGGTTAAATACTTTTAATAGGTTATGAAAAATAGTCCAGAAAAATCCTCAAGTACATTACATTTTCATATTTTATCTTAAATATTTTAATATAACATGAAATAATTCATATATTACATTAATAATTTCTAATAATGAACATAATTGAACATTATTTACTTGATTTGAATTAACATAATATAATAAAATACTTGATTTGAATTAACATAATATAATAAAATACAATAACCACAATATTTAACTGTAATTATTTCTTGCTAGTAGATAATAATCAGTCATAGAATCCCATTTCACTAGCATTGACTCTGAATCGATTACAAAATTGGTTAAAAACATCAGTTCCCAAAACTGTTGAAAATGTTATGAAATGTCTCTTTGTTCTCAAGGAAGTTACATACAAAAAAAAAAAACGATCAGAGATGGTGAAAATGGGAATCAGTAAAGGGTTAACCAAGCCCAACTTTTTTTTTTCTCCCACTAAATGAGGTTCAGGAATGTCTGAGAAAAAGGACACTTTCTTGCTCAGCTTCATTCATATTCAGTTAATTCAGTTTAACCCAACAGTTAGTTTCAAATTAAATCAGGGAAGTTGTTTGGAAAGATTGCACTAAAGGCATTTTCTTATTGCGACAAAGTCTTAGGTTTCCATCTACCTGTAATATGAGCAAGTGTGTGAGTTTCAAGCTTTGATGCTTAAAAACAAACAAACAAGCTGCGAAGGTTCAGTTTAAAGCTCAGATGCCTTTTCCATGAGGGCTGTGTTTTAACTTCCATTTACTAAACACAGATACAAACATGCACTCTTACCTATAGGACTGAAGAATGTCAATAATACCGATGTACACCAGCAGCCGCTCGCCCTTGGAGTTTCTTGCAGGGATTCCTCCAGTCCTGAGAGATCAAACACACTCAATGAGTCTTTTCTTCAGGACTTTTAGGGGAAAATTTGAATTGAAGTGTTTTAATATGGAACAATCTCACAAGACTGAATATATTCTGGATTATCTCCAAAGGTCGACACAGAAATAAAAGCCTGAATATGTACATACGCCTCCACTAATATATGTGGCTTCCATAGAAACCTATTGAGGGTTCTGGTATAGTTTTTATTGGACGTTAGATCACTCTACATGGAGAAATTGTTAAAGCTGATATGTTGAATTCATGGAAGAATCCATTTGTGCAAAGCCTACAAGTCTTCCATAGAGCTGATGTCAGAGGTTTCTAAAAGGGTGTCGTCAAACTGGCTTTCTTCATTCCAAAACCAGTTTTGAAGAGTTTGGGTTTATAACCCTTTTGTAACACAGTTGTGTCCCAGTATCGAAACCTCTAACTTTTGATTTTATGTGAAGCTGAAGAAACAGGACCCACAGGGAAAAAAATAAATAAAACAACCCAACATAATGCTACCACAGCCTTGCCCGAACGCGTCTTCAGGTAGAAACGTTCACCTTTAAACATACTTCTTGTTATTGAGGTCAAACAGCTCATCTGAACCTCACCCGACCGGAAATCCTTTCCATTAGAAGCTCTTTGGCTCGTGAATGCATGCTGCTAAAATTCATTTACTTTTTTCACATTTTTGGCCTTTATTGTGAAAGTGCTCTCACAGGAAATTGGGCTAAAGGAAAGGGGGAAGACATGTTGGGAAGGTGCAGCAGCCACAACTGAAGCCCTCCGTACAGAAATCCAAGTTTCAACCTTAATGTGAACAGCCAAACCTTTAGGTCCAACATGAAAATCAGTTTTGGAGCCGAGCCTGTTACTTCATCACTGGGTGACAGATTGGCTCTTGTGGTTGAAACCAGGACATAATTGAGTACTCCAACAGCACATTAATCCATTACACATCAGAACTAGTCTTGGAATAAATAAAGCACACTATTGGAAGCCAAAATATTGACACCAAAGAATTTTTTTGGTTGTTGTGAAAAAAAAAAAAAAAAAAACATAATTCAAACCGACCAGGTGTTTGACCAGAAGCTTGAATAAGCCAAATACATGTATATGCTTTTAACTTCTAAGCAGCAATAAAAGGCCTCTTGTACCCCATCACTCACCTTTCCTCTGGCTCCACACCTCCTGACTCGGCCTGGATGGCCTCGATAGCTGTGCTGTACAGCGACTTTTGGATTTGCGGCCTTCTTTGGGCCCCAGCTCCCTCTGCCTCCGCCTCTCTGTCTTGCTCTCGACTGGCCTGGTCTATATTATGCACTCCCACTAGAAGACTGTAGTCCATAATCTTGAAACTTTGCAAGAGCTGAAAGAAGTTCATACCAAACAAATCATGATATAAATGTTTTAAAGAAAAAAAAATATTTTTTTTTATTTTCAAATGAATTCTCACCAAACAGTCTCTCTGGAGAGTTTTACAAACAGCGTTGTACTTGTCCACCTCCAGGATCAGTCCTTCAGGCATGTCCTGGATGAAATCCAGGTCCTTGAACGTGGGCACAGCTTTTTCCCGCTCCTTGGGAGACGCCCGCCGCTTATAGGTGGAGCCTTTTAGATCAAACTTGAGGTGCATTCGTACGGCACTGGGCAGTAGATTGTTCATGACCACGATGCGGATGTTTTTACCCGCTGCCTGGACGCAGTACAGCCCATAAAACTTTGGTAATAAGGTCCTTTTGTTCTGGTTCAGGTTCTACGAAGGAAGCGAGATTACAGAATAAGAAAATTAAGAACAACCTAAAAAATATATATGCCTGCAAGTGCATGTGAGACCCTCTTTTTTTTCCCAAACCACTCCCAGAATAATGGGTGCCTCACCAACATCTTAGCTGATGGGTTTTCTAGACAAATGGACTACAGTCCTGCTTTAATAGAGACAGGTATGCGGATGAGGATCAATTAATGAAGTAAACCTAAATCACATTAATAAGCTAATAAAATGTGTTATTTGTTTGGTTTATTAAGTAACAAAAAGGTGGGGGGGGGTCTAGGATATGTTTTGGTAGATTTTACTTTTAATTTACTATATACTTGTTGGGTCCATTGTAGGGCTGCAACTAAAGATTATTTTGCAGATTGATAAATCTGCAAAATAATTAATTGATTAATAATCGGATAACCAAAAGTTCCTTAAAGAAGATTTTTTTGGTATGAAATTAAACCAGGTGAAACTAAAACTTTTCTACTTGAGGAGTTCTGGATAGAGTATATTGACAGGCGACAACTTTTTTTTTAAATCTTAAATGCAAAAATATATTTCTTTATAATCTTGGTATAATTACTGTTTTAAGTAGGGGCTCTGTCAGCTAAAGACATGTATTAAAATCTAAATACTATAATCAACAGTTAATCAATTGCTAAATTAGTTGACGATTAATTCAATAATCAGATTAATCATGATTATTCTGATTTATGGTTTCAGCCCTAGTCCATTGGAGGCAATGATCATAAAATCCACAAGACGACAATATTATTGTTAACATTAATGTAAACATCAGACATTTAGAAAATAACAGCCAACAAAAGCAGTCTTCCATGTTGTCTTCATCAACAACTCTGTGTTTATGCTAAGATTCTGACAACCACGAGACTACCAGCTGACCCAGAGCGCTTTGTCCCCCACCCCACCCCACCCCACCCGGCCAGTGCCTGAGCCGTAACTGACGTGTTTGATCTGATCCCAGCAGTGAGGTCTGTTTGACCTGCCTGGTAAGAAGAAGTGACAATATGCATATGACCAAACCCCAAAGTCTATAAACAAAGAAAATGAATTATATTCTGGAGAACTTTTCACAGCGTTTATGAAAATCTGATAAGGTCTGGATGACCAGAATCACCTCATTCATAACATTACTGAACCATGATGAATTCTTTCAGGCCTGCAATCTTTGATTCTTATCGGTAGGAGTGAATTATTAATCTGTTACACCTTGTTTGTTAGTTGGTTAATTGCTTGACATTTAGGCAACAAATAAGTGTAAGCACATGTTAGGTTGACTAATAATTGACTTTTCACATGATAGGCTCGCTTTCAAATTCTTAATTAACCCAATATTTTATGCATTAAAGGATTTCCTTCTAATTCACTTCTAATTCCTTCTAATTCACTATTATAAAGATTCAATAAAATATTAGGATGATTGATGAATTAGTCACACTGCTATATCATTTATCTAAGTACTGAACAAAACCACCACAGCTAAGCAGGTAAAAAAAACGAATGAATAAATTGAATGGTTTTAAAGACTTTATGAATAAAAGGATGAGTTCGATTTAATAAGCAAATCATTTTTTAGTCTATATGCCTTATGCGTAATCCTTTTTGAGAAGAATTGAAATTCTCATGATGGAAACTCATTTCTGTTGTGGTTCCTTGAAGACAATCACATAAGCACAGACTTTGATCATATGATAACACCTTTATCAGAATGTTGATAAAATAAAAAAAATAGGTCTGTTTAATTCAGGATAGGTTTCGCATTATAGTATATATTTCGGGAGTAAAAGGCCCTTAAAAAGAAAAAAAAGCCATAATCCGAAAGGAATATTATTATTTTGCAGGAATTAACCTGATTAACGTAGAACAACAGTCTCAATTCAGCAGAGTCCTGCTAGTTACTTACAGATGCACATAAATATGTGCTGTGAAATGACATGCATGACAGTTTTGCTCAGAGGCCTAATGTTAAAACAACCAGTTTAGATGACACTACAATAAATAGGAGCTACTTGTATTAAGAGAAGACTCCGGTATTGACTTTCCTTACAGTTCGGTCTTACCATAAAGTATCCTGGAAGCAGTTTTTGGAGAAACTCGGCCTCTTTGTGCTGCACCGTCTTTATAATGAATTCATCATCCCTAGAGACGTAGAACAGAGATCCACTGGCGCCGGAGTTAGACAGCTCGATCAGCTGCTCGTTGCACAGAGAATACTGTGAATAAATCAGAGTTAAGAATAAAAAAAAGTGTGACATTACCAAATTTATCTGACCTACTTTAGAAGCTAATATTATAACAGGAATGATGAAGGGAAAACAGAAATACCATATAGTCATCAGGCCGGATGCCAAACATCTCTCTGAAGTAACGAAAGGCCACTGGAGCGTATGTTTTGAACCTGAAGTCTCCATAGTGGTGAGCTGGTGTCAAGTTACTGCCTTCACTGCCACAAAAATAAATACATAATTTCAATATCCACTTCCTGAACTCTTGCAGCAAAGAAAAAAAAAACAATTAAAACTTACCTGGGAAAGAAAATGCTTTCCATGACTTCGAAGTCCTGCAGCAGCACATCTCTCTCAGGTTTTTGGTTCAGGCTGCCAACTGTGTATGTGATGCCCAGCTGTAAGGCTGCTTTTAGAGTAGAAGATGTTGTCTGGAAAAAAAAGGGGAATACTTACACACTTAGATCTACAATGAAAAAAATAGATACTTCATACAGTATAAGCTAAGACTTCTATAAACATCTTGAAATACAGATTTGCTGAAATTACAGCTTGGTAAATGAATGTTAGCAGGAGAAATGTTGATGAATAAGAAGACTATTACAGTGCCATTACCGTCATTTTCGGACTATAAGCCACGACTTTTTCCCAATTTTTCGACATTGCGGCTTATATAACAATGCGGGTTATCTATGGACTTTTACAGCTAACGGCCACTAGGGTAATACCTAAATCTATGGATTTTACCATCCACCATGTTGACGTCACATTTGCGTCAACACACAAGTACGGTAGCTGCGCGGGCGGGAATGCAGAGGTCCTCCGGAAGCAGACTTCTACCGCGAGTGGTACGAGACAGAACAACAGCAAGAAAGACGGAAATTGCGAGCGCAAGACCGTTTGTGTTAAACATGAAAAACCTGCGGCTTATAGTCCGGTGCGGCTTGTATATGTACAAATCATGCAATTTAGCTTCTGCGGCTTATATGCAGGTGTGGCTAATAGTCCGAAAATTACGGTAATCAATAGTAACAGAATAACTAACTAAAAGAACTACTTAAATAAAATTTGACAAGCTAAAATGAAACAGGCTGTTCTATATTATTAAAAACTTTATCACTGTAGTACTATAAGTGGGTTTAAGTGTCTCCAGCATGATTTAAAGATCAATCAAGTTGTTCAGTGGTTTAAATCTGCAACTAACAATTAATCAAATCGATTAATCTGTTGATAATTTTTCCAATAATTAGATTAATAATCAGTTCCTTAAAGAAGA